CACCCCCTCAGCACAACTTCCTCCAGCAGCAGAAGTCCATACTTCAGCAGCTGTGTCAGTATTTTGTGTTCACAGAATCACAGAACGTTAGGGATTGGAAGGGACCTCAAAAGATCATCTAGTCCAATCCCCCTGCCGGAGCAGGAACACCTAGATGAGGTTGCACAGGAAGGCGTCCAGGCGGGTTTTGAATGTCTCCAGAGAAGGAGACTCCACAACCTCTCTGGGCAGCCTGTTCCAGTGCTCTGTCACCCTCACTGAGAAGAAGTTTCTTCTCAAATTTAAGTGGAACCTCCTGTGTTCCAGCTTGTGCCCATTACCTCTTGTCCTATCATTGTTTGTCAAACATTGTTCGTGTTCAAACAGAGCTGGTCAGAAACTTTCCAGTACATAATGCAGTTTCATCAAACCCACAACTTCCTGGGGGGGGGAAACCAGATCAGTTTAGATAAGTTTGTGTTGAAAAGTGCTTGACTCAGGCACACATACAGAGTTAATGCAGTCAAAAGTACCATGGTAGGACACAACTTGGTAAGACACAGCCCAGCGCTAATCACACCAAAGCAGACACACCCGAGAAATGCACTTACAAAAGGTGGTGTCTCCAAATGTTTCTGTTTTACTTAACAAACCAAACCAAAACTGTAAGTGTGAAGTTATTGCTTTTAACTCAACATCAGAACCGTTCTGTGCTCAGTGAAGAGCCTGGGGCCCTGGAGGTGCCACTCCATGGAGCAGCAGCACCGGAGCACGACATCACGCTCCTGAGCTGGGTCACGTTCATAACGCAGCACTTCAGCAGCTCTGGTGTCTTTCTTAGGAAGGCATTTTTGGCTAAATAGAACCAGATGCCATTTTTTCTTTCAATTTATTTCCTTTCTGCTCATAGTTTCCAACCTATTGTACACATTAAAGCATAGTTGCAATTTCAGAGTAACTGACAAAGGCTATAATTTTGAGAAAAAGCATTTCTGGACTGAACGAGGGCGATTCTCAAGATTCAGTGTTGGCTTTTGTTCATGCAATGTGTGTCGTCTGACCTGGATGTGATACCATTACATTCATAGAGACATTTATTTATTTTATTTTTTTAAAACTTTTATTTGCATGCACTTTTGTTGGCACTTAAATGTCGATGTTTAAAAAAACATGCTGGCATAGGTGGTTAAATGTGGATGCATGTATAGAAGCCTATGCTTGGAACCCAATCATGGGACGCTTTGAAGAAATTAGGGATGCATTTCACTGTTGTGAGATGGTCTGCAACAAACTTGATGTTTGTGAATGTTGTAGGTTAAATATTAAATATTTAATTATTGTTCTGGTTTAGGGCATCACAGGCAAAAAGGTATTTGTTAAAAAGTGAAAATAAGGTCAAGCATAAGCTGTATCTGGGGTTCAAATAAAGAGGGATGTTCCACTCTGCAGAAAGGAAACAGGTGGAAAACCTTCTGAAGGAATTTAAATGACAAAGAAATGACAGGGATGGGGTCATTTAAAGGTTCTCTGGAGTTCCTGAAGCCAAGAGCCAGCGTTGCACAGTCAGCCAGTACCACCTCTAGAGTTTTATTACAATGCCTGGTAAATACGTACGCTGCTGTTTTTATATGATCTGAACAGTTTTCATGGGTTTTCCTTGTAAAACAAAGCTTTTCATTACCTCATAGAGAGAGGACTTATTGGCTACCACCTAATGATGTAGGAAGTTTACAGCCTGAACTTAAAATTCTGTTTTGATTTCTCATTTCTTTATAAACTTGGCTGGTTTTACTAGACCATTAATAAAAATGCTATCATATTTAAAAAGCATGAGTGGGATTTTTTTTCCTTTCTTTCTAGTAAAAGTGAAGGAAGTCTGAGTTGACTGTGTAGTTAGTAGTGTGGGTAAAAAAGAAATAAACCGTGTTCTTCAGGAAGTAACTGCCACCAGTTCATTAAGCAGAATGAAAACTGAGTCTAGAGAATTTGCATAAATGTATTTCCACCATTCAAAATTTAAGGCCCAAGTGACTTCATGGTTAATAAAACTGTCCCCAAAACACCAAGAACTGTTTCTGAAGCAAATGTACATTATGACCAGCTTATTTGTTCCTTTTTTGAATATTTCAGCTGGTACTTTGCCCCACTATCACACAGCCATAACCTTCTCCAGCGGTCTCACATCTGACACTGCTATCTTCCTGCAGTCTCTCCTGCTGCTGAAAACACGCAGTTTACACATTTCCTATGTCTGTTCAGTACCTCTGAGGAACTTGCTGTGTACTACAGGCTCTCTTCACTACAAAATTCTTCACCTGCAAGTCAAATGCAAGAAGTAAGTTCCTGTGACATGCAAGAACACAAAAACCTTTGGAAATGGGACAGCAGGAAGAGACTGAGGTATAAAACTGCACATAAAGAGGTTGGGAGTCAGCTCATCCATCTGGAGATGCAGCCAGGCCAACAGCCTGAATTCCCCTTGGCCCCACTGGAGAGAAGTGGCCCTTTCTGAGTGGCATCCACTTGACCGCATCGTGCGCATCCAGCTTAGGCAGACACATTTTCTCCACAAATGTCTGTTTCTCCACAGTTCAGAAGAGTTTGAGCAGTGGTGCAGCCCTTACCTTTAGGCATGTAAAGCACCTGTGGCATTTTCTATCAAACTCTGAATCCTATTTTTCTTTTTTTTCCTGGAATAAAGTTTCAATATTTACCCCATTCTGAATACAACAAAGTCTTGCTGTAAGGTACTCCCAAATATAGTAAGATTTCTAAATCTGATAAAAAGCCCTAAGTTTCAATACACATGTATTTGCGTATGTATTTATCTGCTTAATAATAAGACTCTGAAATGTGTTTTTTTAGAGGGGGCAGGGACTGGCAAGTCCCAGTGCACTTTGTACTCCAACACTGTCATGAAGGGCGATGCTGTAAATAGCACTGCTGGGTCAGCAGAGCTGAGTCATGGGCACCTATGGACTCTGATAAAGCCAGGGCAGGGAGTCCGCGAGGCCGAAAACCCCTGGCCCAGAAAGCCACAGTGACTTGTGCTGGAGTTTTGATGTCCCAGGCTGTTTTTAGCAGTTCCAAGAAGGAAAGAATCAGGTATGAAAAGCAGGGTGGTGAAATGATGGGGACACTTCTCTGAAGGACTCAAGCTCCTCTGCAAGGGCCACGACAGCAACCCAGACCACGATACAGGCCTGCATCTGCCAGAAGCGGTGCCAGTGGTGACCCTGGAACACAGGGTCTGGTGAGAACATTTCCTATGGCAACTCCTGAAGGTGACTACAAGCCCAAGAGCACAACTACATGGATCTCTGCACCAGCAGGGAATCACTTGAGATGGAGTGACCTCTTGTACCCGCTGCAGAACCATGGTAGAGCTGTGGTACAGCAGGACATCACTACCATATGAACTCCCCTTCTCATCCAATAAAAGAAAGTTACCAACTCTAAATCTTTTAAAAGCTATTTATTTATCTTGAAAGGAGAGAAACGGATTAGTTGTATAAAATATTATCACATATTTGATGTAAAGCCTTCAATCTGTTTGAACAAAAAAATACACTGACACAGTAAAGAAATAATAAATCTGCTCAGGTACTGGACCCTGTAATGTGCCCCCTCAAGCCAAAGGATCACGGCAGAACGGCTGTAACAGAGCTTACGGTCAGCGTACCCAAATGTTAACATACATTCTGTTGTAAAACTCTGCAAAAAGTGAGAAAATAAACGTGTGGTACTCTTAACACTTCTGAACATTTTTCAGGAAGAAAGTTGAAGCCGTATGGCAACTAAAAAGATAATATTATTTTAAAATTCATTGACAAGTCAGTGTGCTGTTCATAGAATTTTTAGTAGTTCTAGGATTAGCTTCTGTTCAACACAACAACTGGTCTTTAAAATACTCGAGTAAGTATGCTAGGCTCAGCTAAACAAGTTCTAAATAAGCTACCCAGAGAAGAAGTTGCTTTAAAATGTTTCTGTAATTAATAGTATGCTTTTCTACTATAACTGTTTTAATTTAAGTAGCTGTGAAAACTAAATTTCATAAAAATGGATAATTTTAAAGCAATACGTCATTTATTTACTTACATTTTAATCCACTGGAAGTAAAACATGTGCTTTCCTTAACTGGCTATTTTGCAAACTCTTTATCATTGCAAGAAAAATTCCAGTCTTTGAATCAGTAACATACAAACACGTAAGCTGAAAAAAGTTTTGAGGTTTAGTTCTGGTTGGTTTTTTTGTTATTTTTTTGCTAGTTGTAACAGTTCACAAGTTGCTTATCAGACTCTGCCTTTCCAGTAAAATGAGGCAGAGTGATTTTCCTAATGTGGGCTCCTCAATGCCCTGTGCTTTTAGAGACCAGGTGCTTACCTGGAACTCAACTGGAGATGCTCGGCTCGCAGCTGTAGGAACAGGGTTGGTGCCTGTGCCTCAAGCTATTTGGCTTGGCTACAGTTAGGCAAAAATTTGAAGAAATCAAGAAAATGCTACAACATTAGAATTTTGAATTCTTATGTGTGCCAGGGGGGATTTAGGTTTGAGGTTAATTTTTCTTCTTTTTTTTTATTTTTTCTTTTTTAATTGAGATTTTTCCAAGGCAAGAAAGTGCACATCAAGTACTTGGCATACAGTAAAGGAAGCCTCAGCTTCTGGGAGGAATCCCCGTGGGATTCCTATTCCATGAAATTCAAAGGGATGGAGAGCCCTCTGGAATCACAGCGGGCCAAGAGCTGAGGAAGAACTACAAAACGCTATGCGTTGGTTTCAGTAGTATGGCTACATAACGAGTTCCCTTTGAATTCAGGTTGTACGGCTCCTGTGAGGCCCTGACTGCTGTGCAGCTTAAGTTAATGAGAATTTGATGCGTTAATTATATACAGAGACAGAAATCTTTGCAGTATCTGGCCCCTCACTTCCAAAGTGTACAAGTAATGAAAATGTAAAAATGGAATCTAAGAAACAAAATTAGTGCATTTCAAATCTTTCTAGCTCATCTTTTGTCTTTAGACAAAAATTCAGTCCAAGTAGACTGAATTCACTTAAATCAGTAATGCTGCCATAGGAAACTAAGACACCTTCCAAGTCTGTTTTTAAAATCCTCAAAAAATATATAAATTAAATTCAGTGGCTTACATTGTACACATGCTACATCATAAGGCCAAGTATCATGACAAACATTTAAAAATCTTAAAAGTCCAAATGTTTTCAACTAGCAGTTCGGCATAAAAAAGCAACTAAAAAAAGCAACTCAATTAATGAAGGCTGTAAAACAAAAATAATCTTAAGAGGGCCTGCAGTGCAGCCCCTGGTCCTGAGCAAAATCTCACTTTTCTTCACTGGCTGAGGTATCATTTCCATCGTTCAGTTTCTGCTTTTGCATTCTTGTTCGGGTAGATGCTAAAAACAAAACAAAAAACCACAGAACATTAAGTATTTTCTTCAGGATTACTTTTGGATGTATTGATTGTCAAAATTTGTAATGACCCAAGGAACACTTAATTTAAGCAACAGTAACACAACTGGATGTGGGACAGAACATCCCTTCTCAACCTCTGCCACAAGGCAACACCAAAACATTTCCCCCACCCTAAAATAAACGAGAGGTGCCTGGATTCTGCCCTAGATCTGTCTTGCCAAATAAACACTTGCTAGGTGAGAATTTTTAACAGTCAGATCTGCTCCACTGCAGAGCTCAGATTGCACCAGAGAGTGAGGACGCAGGGGCAGACCGAGGGGAAAACACAAACTCAGATGTGACTCGGCTGTGGGGACCAGGCCGTTTTGCTTTTCATGAGCTAGGTTTGAGTTTTATTTGAAAAACAGAAAAGTGATCCCATAAGATCCAAAAGAAATGCTGATCCGCAGTAGAAGAAAAAGCAGTCTCAGGCATTTTAGTATAAAAGACAGTAAAGCAACGTGCTAAATTACATATGATTTTCCTGTGTATATAATTTTCCTTTACTGTACTGTAATTGCCTGAAAAGGTGTTCAGCTCAACTAAATGCTGCTGCAATTACTACTGATTTCTACCTGCAAGCTCTCAGCTAAGGGCCCATCACTGGAGCAAGTGTGAAAGCCTTGGCAAGCATTTACAATTTCAAGAATTCTAGGGTTTAGAAGGAATGCATCATGCTCATTTTCTTATTCACATACAATGCAGTATCTTTTATGCTGCTGTGTCATATAATGACCTCAAAAAGGCCTTTGAGGATTTGCATTTCACAGTCTGCATTTTCACGATTAAATGGAGCAAGTACAAAAAACTAAGCAAGTTACCAAAGTGACATCAATGTTGAGCAGTGTTTTTATCTGAGTGGGCACAAACTGTTTTCTCCAAGGCACTCACTGCTGTGCAGTTAATGAAAAAATAATACTCACTCATTTCTGCAAGCTTTTGTTGGAACTTGGACTCCTGGGGTAGGTGTTTGCTGCAGAGAAAAAACACATGATTAAGTGGAAGTTAAAAAATAAACTTACTTTTTATCCTCATAACCTAACTTTAAATCAAGGTTAGTTCATTTCAGTGCTATTGCCTTTTCTTACAAAGATGCAAACTCTTTGTTTCTCCACGCTAAAGAGCTGCCTGTTTTCTCATACATCTGAAAGACTGACTAAAGCTGACAGCATGGTTTAGCCCTCAGCAGTAACACTGGGATGGTGGATCTGTAGGCACTGAGTAAATCCTTGCTTCTGACATCCCAGTGTCTCATTTAGAAGTATTATGCTGCTTCTCTCATTTAATATATTTACTAAAGTTCACAGATTAACAGAAGTTACAGTGTCAGGAAGAAGTCAGTATGGAAAGCCCCAAAAATCAAATCTATCTCAGTTTACCGAAAAGCCGAGGACGAGCTCTTACCTTCCATCTGCTTCGTCCTGCCCTTCTATATCGAAGCGCAGCCTCTTCAGAGGCTTAGAAGCAGCACTCACTTCTGCACTGCGTTTTAGATGGCTGTCACTGTTGCAAACCATCTGGTTTATTTTTTGAAACTTTTCAGAAGTCTGAAATGACAAGAAAATAGGAAAAGAATTGCCAAAAATAGCCCCAAACATCTCAACCTTTCCAGATTATCCACTAAAAAAGGACTTAACAGGGCACCCCTGCAATCTTTGTGCTTACAGCTTCCATAAAATACTACATTAAATTAGAGATGCTCACTGGCCAGTTCTACAGGTATCAGCAAACTATCCCCTTCCTCCCAAAGTTACATGCATTCAAGAGCAGACATTAAAAATGTTAAAACTCACCCCAAATGATTCACCAATTGACACCAAAATTCTGCCAAAAGAAGAGAAGTGTTTAAGATTAAACTTTATTTAACACTAATTACATCCACTAATTTGCACAGCTTAGCATAAGACATTAACAAAGTCTCTTCCTCTCTCTGTGTTAACTTGATTCCAGTTTGAAAAACCCACTGGAGACTTGCACATTTGCTGTCATCCTCATCTGCTAAGAAGCAGGGACCAACAGTTTCAAATGTTCTGCTCAGTCAAATAAACACTCTGGACCATTTTGTTCCAAAAGTATTTTCTCTTTAAACAAGGGTACAAAGCTCATCTGTGTTTTCCAGAAGTATGATCCAGAGTCAGAGCCAACAACACTTAAGCAACTAAGTCAAAACCCCTCTTGAATGTGACTGTTCTGAAAACAAACCAAAAAAACCAAACCCCAACTCCTTGAGCACTCTGACTAAACTGAAACAGAACAGCGCTGAAAGATGATTGAAGATTCCAAAAACAGGACACAAACTTTTAACCAGAAAAGATGTAAGAACCACAGACCATTGACAAACTGACTCTGTGGTTTTCTAATTTGCTTCCACTAAACCCCCCCTAATACATTTAATTTAGTCAACGAAATGCTTGTCAACAACCTACCTAGACCTTGGAGTCATCTTTGTGGGTGACTGAAACCCATCAGAAAATTTGTATGGGCTCTTCAAGGGTGAGATGTAGATGTTATTGCCAGCAGGGACACGGCGAGGAGAGTTGGAAAACTGGTAAGGGCTGCGAGGAATGTGTGGGATAGGTGACAGACTGGGAGGCTATAAAATAACAAAATACTCATAAGGTTTCATTGTCTATATATTCCTATTCTGTTAAATAATTGATACTGAACAGAACTAACACCTTACCCTGGTGGAGGCATACTGCAAAATGTTTGTTTTCAGCTTCTGCATGAACACCAAGTTGTAGAAGACTATAATGGAGTCATACTGCTCTTCCCTGATAAGAACACGTTTGAAAGTCTACATAGGGTGAGAAAATCATATATAGATTGGAAAAAAACATGGGATGAAAGTTTTACATTTGACAAACTCATAAAACCATTCGTAAAATCTGTGTTAGGAAAGAGCTAAGATGGTATGTGTGTTGTATGCAAGCCATTGGAACTACTATTTAGAACTGTTCTAAGTGGTTGGGATTTTTCCAAACAGGTATGAACAGCAGAAGAAGCACCTACTTCATTAACTGGCACAGCTCCTTAGTGCAAAAGCAGTTCATCAGCACTTTAACTTTTTTTTCAAATTTCAGCTCCATTTACCTTCACTCACACAATTCTCAAAAAACAAAAGGCTTCGCTACTGTGTACACCTTGGAAGGCTAAAGAAGTCATTACGGATGTGATGTGGATAAAATAGCTCTTTAGGCTTGGAGACAAAAGTCTGGAACTTAGCCAGGATGCACAAACACACTAAGAAATTCTGCTGCTAAAAGGACGCCTACAGATCAATTATGTTTCATTGTCTATTCATTTAGTTATCATTTTGTGCAAAGATTTAAGTACAGCAAGGCCCTTACAAAGAAAGGAACTTCTCAGCGTCAGAATTAAGCCTGCAACTTTAATACATACATACCTGTTTGATATATAACCATACATCTCTATTTGTTATCTTATTTCTTCTGAACACTTCTACTGAAAGTTATCTGCTTATCTCCCCCTTAACGCTGTTATTTAACTCTTAAAAGAACTTGGGCTGTCTTTGAAAATCCTACTAGCACTAGAGCCGAGCCTTTCATCCAGTCTCCAAATAGAATCATAACCCATTATGTAGTATCTTTAAGTAAAAAAGTGGAGTGAAGTTTGAGGAAAATTCAAGTGGAATAAGTAAAAAAGTGGAATAACTGAGGAAAGTTACCAAACTATTTGTGCAAGATGTTTAAAGAGACATTTAGTACTAGAGCCAGTTTGATTTTCCACAAAATGGAGACACAGTGAAGCAGACGTTTTCTTTTGTATTTTCAACTGTAGTCTGGGTTGTTGTTTTTTTCCTCTTAGACAAACAGAGAGAAATAACTAGTTTATAACATTTTTATAGAGGAGTGAAATTAAAGAATTTCCATACCTCTTGATTTGTGTTGGGAAGCTCCTTGTAGGCCAAAACAATTGTTTTAAATCTAAGATCTACATTCTTTACTTTGCATATGCCATACATGGAACACATCATGATCTATTAATGAAACAAGATAAGACAAATGGAAATGTAGAAAATTAATTCATCTTCTTAATTCCAAGTTAAGGTACCAACAGATGAACTTTCTATTACTGACTGTGCTCTGCAAACCAGCATGCAACTCAACTTCATAAGAATTTCCAGAACACTACAATTTCTAATGGCTAAAGAATGTGTAAGGAACATTATGCTCAGGAGAGTCTTTTTAAAACTTTTTGGTTAATGTTACCTGGTCCAAGTGCCTGTCTCTCATGAGCTCATACTCATTTTGCAGCGTGTGCTGGAAGAGGGTCCAGATCAAGGGTTCCAGGTCAGGATGTTCAGAGAGAAGCCTGCAGAACAGGGTACGTAGTCGAAGATAGGCCAGTAGATACACTTCAGAAAGAGAGAAGAAAAAGAAACTGAAATTTTATAGTCTCTATTATAATCTTTTAAGAAATGTTGAGCTCCAAAACCCAAAAAAGATCAGTAACAGGAGATAACTTTGCAACTTCAGCACATAAAGAAGCAACAAACCTTTTTTGTAGAACAGAGAGAGGGAGGTAGATTTCTGTGGTTTCTGTGGTTGGGGGGGCACACCTTGCTGAGCATCTGGAGTGGAAGTAGCACTTGGAGGAGGTCCAGATGACTTCTTTGTAGGAGATCTCACAGGAGAAAGATAGCTGGAGATTCAACATATATTAAGCACTTAACATCACAGGATAAAGGAACAATTTTATATGAATAATACTTGCAGGAACTCTTCCCTCTTTCCCCATTAGAAGAAATTAATTGCTACTGTAACTTGTTATTCCCATATCAAGAATTAAAAATTCAAGTTATTGATTAAACACCTGATAAAGGGACTTATTTATTCCTAGACAAGTAAGATAACAGTTTGCAATTACAAATTTGTGAGGGCCTGGAAAAAAACTTCTGAATTTGATTTAGCTAAATTTACATCTCCAGTAAGCAGCAGCAACTACAACAGTTCAAGATAACTTAAAGTACCAAGCCTAACAAGTAAGAAAACAGAATACAAGTAGATTTAAACAATAAGGGCAATATTCACTTCACATTTTACTAGACTTCAAGTATGCACATCACTTACAGGTCTGCTGCAGTGTGATTATGCTGGAGAGGCAGGTTGAGAGTGGAGGAGGGCTCAGACTGATCAGTTTGGCCTTCTCGTTCCTTTGACTGCCTGATAAGATCGAACAAAGGCGACCCCTAACAAAAATGACAGCAACAGAACATTATGCTGAGAACAGACAACCACAGTGGATGGATTTTGTTCCTTGTTCTCTTAAAACAACCCCCAAAATATGAACCTAAACAGAAGATTAATGATTTAAAATATGTCGATGGTCATATGTTGCCAGATAAATTTTAGCTACTTAACTGACAAATTTGAACTATCAAACTTTTATGAAAGTTTTGATAAGAATAAGAAGTTATGAAACTTTTCCTGTTTCAATAGAAGTCCATTAGATATATGCTAACTGCAGAGTTGACACAGTTTTATTCTAGAGTGTCTTATTACTTCCTATTAAATACACATTCCTGAAAAGACAGCAAATAAAAGAAAACACATAAAAGGGTATATTTCAAAAAAACCCCACAACAAACCCAAAAGCAAAAACCAAAAAAGTCTTAGTGACTGAAAGTTGCTGCTGTACCTAATGTCAACCCACTGCTGTTGCAACACCTACCCAATATTTTACAGATTATATCATACAAAAGACGGTTGTAACTCATCTAACTGCACTGGGGACTATTTCGATCTCTGCAGTATCACCTTCCAGAGCTACCTCTGGCAAGAGTTAGAGTCACTCTGGATACATTAAGTCTCTCCGCTCACACCCAAAACCAAAAAACATTTTGATTTTAGGTCAATTATCAGTATTTTAGGCAAGGCAGCTGGACTAAGTCTGAAGCCATGAAGAGCTCAAGGTAGAAAGCAATGCAGAGAGGACGTAAGTGGAGCAGGGAAGGTTCTGGCTGAAGCAACACCAGCATCAACAGCAGCCTTGCAGAAATGACATCTCAGGCTTTCACTGCTTGTGTGTCATGTACGGAGTAGAATTGTGTTGAGATAGCAAGACTGCACAGGAAAATATTTTGGCACCATATTTATAATTAATTTTGAAAACACAGGGTTACTGGCTTCTGGTTCTTTATTTTCTTTAAACAAGAGACTCATCCTTGAGCACAATGTCACCTCCCAACAGTGCAGCATCAGAACAGTGCAGTATCAGTGCAGTATTGCTCCAGAAGCAACAGATTTGATTAGCAAATATCTGCCTTCTCTGAGGGAAAAGCAATGTCCGTAACACTGACAATGAAGTGGGCAAAACCAAACGTTCAGCATTTTCCTCCAAATGGTCTCCCAAAAGACAGCAGTAAAATCAAACAGCTCAACACTTTGTACATAATGCATTGCCCTATTGCCCAAGGTCTATTTGGTCCTACAAATCCACATTACCTACATTAAAATATGATGGCACAGATAACAAATCTGTAGCTACAATAACAAGCACACAGCATGCACATAAAGCAAGCTGCCTGGCTAAGGCAAAACGAAAAAAAAAAGCCAAGTAAAACTAGACTAGATTTACTAGAATTAAAACTAGCATTAAGACTTTCCTCATTTAGCCTTATTTCTAAAAAAAATAATAAAAAATTAACAAAACCTAGCATTTTCTTCTGAAGTGCATGGACTAAAAACTCAGAGCAGCAAGATGAGAGTGACCTGAGCTTTACAATTTTTCACATTGTATAATTTTTAAATTATTTTGGCAATCGTACAGCTGTTCTATCCATAACAGAAAAACATCAGTTACTGACTCATAACCACAGAGTCTGCCACCATTTCTCAATCAGGTCAGCTCTTGGGCTGGTTTGCATCATCTTTCCCTGTATTTCGGAGCGCACACACTTCTCACTTGTTTCTTTCAGCGCTGCCCTTGCTGGAAATGCAGAGACCTGACCTTCTCCATTTCTCATCCTTCTGACCACTCAGCTTCTTCCTTTTTATTATTCCCATCAGCGTTTCACTATGCACTGAAGAATCCAAGTTCCTTTCCCAGCACAATCACTAATTCATTGCTGAAACACCTCCTGATTCCTTGATTAAGAGCAAATCCCGCTTCATTCATTTCACATTTTAGCTATTAATGACTGGGAAGGTATTTTTTTTAATGAAGCATCAGTAGGACAAAAAAGGGTTGATAAAGGTGAATGAGAGGTCAAGAAACAGAAGCAAAAATTACTATTTTTGAAGTCAGCACTTGAAAGCAGCAGTTCCAGCTCCTCTCTCATCCCTGCTCCAATTTTCACTACACAGAGTGTGATTTCATTAGTTAAGGCGAGGGAACGCAGCAGCTCGCTACCTATGGAAGGGACCTGCCTACTTCTGCATCCTTTCCACTCCTCCTCTTCTACTTGCCAGCCTTGACAACCAGTCAACCTCCCCATAAGTCCATTTGATGCACTAAACCAGCAGAAAGTTAACAGAAAAAGCAAAACCAGATTTAAGCCAGCTCTGCAGAGCATCACAAGCAAAGCCAGAACAGGTATTAAGAAAAGACAGGACAGCAACACCACGAAGGTTGGGAGCAAAGCAGGAAAGAGCAGAAAACGGGGAGTACGAGATGTTCCACAGAACTGACAACAACCAGTTCAATCTGATTGATATGTAAAACTTCACCCTACAGCAATTTAGGAAACCTACTGCTGCTTTCCATCAGTCAGATGAACTACAGTTAGCAAGAGGATATATTTTGTGTAGATGTACCTACCCAAGAGACCAAGTAGCAACATGCAGCAAGTCCAACACATCTTTTTTTGACTGCTACAAATACTAACGGCCACTCTGGTTAGAAGTGTGTAAAGATAGATGAGGTGTTGTCACCCAGCTGGCCCCCAGCATCAGCGATGGCGGGATGCGAGAACGCACCGATTCAACGCGTGTTCTTGAGCAAACCACGGCCTGGTTGCCTACCCTGGCTGCAGAAACTTTGTTAGCGCTGCAGTTGTACAAGGCAGAAAAGGTTTATTAGTTTTCAGACCTGGTGAAATTTAAGTTGGGCATTTTGCTGACCACAATTTCCACCTAGGAGCTTAGAGAGCTTTAGATGAAGCCCTCTGTGCCCTTCCCTCCAGGGATCCCTACCACTCTCAGTGGTAGTTTTCCAAATGCACAGCCACAGAGTTAGGGAAATAGGTGGTACACTGACAAGACTGGTGCTTCATAACAATAAATAACTGTACCATAATGTAGAAATAGACAGAGACAAGTTTTCTCAAGTGCATCTATGCTCCACCTTGCAGAACTGATGGGTTTAATGACCACCTTTCCTCCTTTCTTTATATTTAAACATAAAAGATACTTCTATTTAGTGAATCTGAAGTGCACTCCTCAGCTTGCTGGGAATTTTCAAGCTTATCAGGGTAAACTCTGCTCAGCTTTAGTCCCATTATTTAGAATTCAAAAATCTACCTCTCGCTCAAACAAGCAAGATATAATGTTATTAACCAGATAATTACCAATCCTCTAAGAGTCACAAAAGAACTTTAGCCCTCGGGTCCAGCTTTATCAAACAGGAGTGTTTATCAGCAACTTGTTTCTAAAGTGACATTATTCATACTATCTTTTACAAATTTTATATTGCTTCTTAAAGCTTTTAAGCAGCACTTCAGGTCAACAGGTCACCTCCAATGCATTCCTTTCACATGAAAGGAGTTTTGCAGGTTTTACTTTAATTTAATGCTCAGTAAGTGATTAATGTTACTTGATCATAGAATCATAGAATGCAGAAGCAGCCACAGAATACATTTTACTAATTAAGGGAAATGCTGCTTTTCATCTGTGATGGCTACAGAGGCCCCATTTTATTAGTGCGAAAAGCGAGAAAGCAATTAAGGCCTAAAATTTGTCAGGGTCAAACGGCCACTGGCATCAGAATGAAGAACAAGCCTGAAATTTGATTCAGTCCCCTCTCACACTACCCAGGGCTAAAAACACCTCTGCAATGCTAGACTGTGGATTAAGCAGGGCTTTGTTACGTGAGCCTCTGAAGGACGCTTCCTTGCAGCAACACCTACACTGCAAGCATCTGCAGTGATTTTTCTCAGTCCGAAAGCTCCTTTTATGGACAAAACCAGCAGAGTTTCTTGTTGGCTAATCTTTATTTGGCTATGGTGAAACTGCAGGACACACAGGTGCTGCCCAACTTCCTGCTCTTTACATCAACTCTGTCCCAACAACATGTTTAACTGGACTTTGGTTTCCATGAAAAGATTAAATGAAAGACTCAAATTATTAAATAGAGGGAACAGCTACCCCGGGGTTTGGGTGTTCTCCACTGACTGCAGAGGAAGTCTCTGAGCAGCTTTACTCTCAGCAATGCTAATCAGCAGTTTGCAGTAATTTAAAAACTGGTTTTGTCTTTGTTTTCTCTTGCTTTATGATTTTATTCTTTATGATGATTTCCTAATCGATTTTCAGGTTTTGATTATTTGTTGATAATAAATTTTAATGCAGCGTTTATCACTAAAGTAGGTGTATATCTCAAAGCTAAGCTCCCTTGGTAATTTGGTTTTGTTTTGGGTTTTTTAATGTTGTTTGGGATTTTTAAATAATCAACACCACCTAAAATTATTGAATAGATTGATACAAATACATAATGTTAAGAAAAGTTGTTCTTCAGAATATGTGAAAAGGTGGCTGTGATTTTGCAAGGCCGATTTAGAAAGACAGCTTTGGAATGGAAGTGTAAGAACTTGATTGGTATGAGCCCTGTTTTCCCATGACAGAACTGCATGTCCAGAAAGTTGACTTTTGCTTGCAATTGCATTTTCAAAAGCTTCATGTGACAATTAGTATTCAGAATTCTGAAATAATTTAGATCTGCCAAATTTAAATTTAAGTAGTATTTACCATGAAAAAGCAGTAAGATTAAGGACCATGTTTTAATTTCACACATAGGAGTTGTGCTGTATAAATTATGTTCATGGGGGCTTGTTCTTACAAAATTTATCAAGAAAAACATTAACAATGGTAAAAAGAAAAGTGGTAATGGCTTAATTCGTATGAGAATATTGATACATCTGCTTTAACTTCTTAGAGCAAATGTACATTTAATACAAGTCCTACTTTACTCGTCTCCAGCACTTAAGATCAAGTAATACTGTTACCAAGCTTTGTGAGGATCTGCCTTTATCTAAAT